TTCAAACTTTGTTTGGGAGACTTAATAACAAATAGAATATACGAATTTTGTTATAGTCCGATTTTGTAATAGGCCGAGTTTGTTATAGTCCGAGTCTGTTATGGGCCGAGATGAGATACCAGGTTACTTTCGATACAATCGGGCTTCTACGTCTTTAATAAACATTTGTAATAATCGTAGTAAAAATAGCGTTGAAAAATGTTCATTCATGAAATATTTTAAACACGGTATTTATTTTCTCTTCAACCGGAGGACGGGATGAACCCCCTAAAACCGGGATTATTGTACTCCCGTCGGAGGTACACATATATGGATCTCACGCATGTCTGGGGAATACCGATAAAAGCATAACGTAGAAACTGCTGTCTCGTGTAGCCTGATGTGTATTGAATGGGCTTTATATCTTGTACCTTTGGAAGACTTATCACTCATTCATAAACCCACTCAGAACCAGAGACGTATATGTCAAGATATGTAACTGACAAGAATACTCCTAAAGCGGACAAGCAGTTACTGTATATTCTTTAAATTTCGGTTATTTAATACCAAGAAAGTAGAAATAGAATACCGAAATTAATTTGTTACTCAATATGTTTCCTGGAAAATATTCACATCCTCATTCGTTCTGAAAATAAGATATGAATTTTGTATACAGAACATTAAGAAGTGTGAATGTCATAAAACCCTTTTATATCAGAAATATGTATTGAACACCATTATAAATGTGAACCTGTATACGTAAGACCTCATGGGACGTCACCTAACCACATACAGGTAATATACATGTAGCTCTAATACCCGGAAATGTCAAGGTAAATCACTACCGATACAGAATGTACCAATGCAAAGAAATTCTGATGATTGTAAAGCATGACCTTTCATGAATTTAGAGGAGTCTTGGGTGGGGAACGATTTAAATTCTGACTAGATTTTTTTCTCAATTTAAATCACTGAATAAAAAAAAAATAATTACATCCAAGAACAGAATTATTGTTGTAAATTCATAACTACAACGTTCTTATTTTGTAACTTTCGATAGACGTGATTTTTTTTTTCAATTCCATATTGGACGAATGCCTTATTAGTAAAGTTATAAGAATAAATCCTCTCTACAATCAATTTTTAACCCCCCTTCCCCCCCCCCAAACCAACCCAAAAAAAAGAAAAAAAAGGAAGAGATGAACAGTAAGTCACATCAGATTCATATATCTAAATAGTTGATTGTCGTTAAATGTAGAGATGTATACATGTCTCTGCGTTAACTTATAAAAATGACAGGAAAATTTAAACTTGAAATAATTTATGATGAATACTATCAACTGTGGCACCTACACATTTTCTAGGGAGTTGAATAACCCCTTCTTATCGCAGCGTACATGCACGTATTTTATTGACTCTGTCCGTCATTTCGAATAAGAATGACAATTGTACGTGAAATCCTAAAGTTGGTGATACTTTTTTCTACCAGTTGTGCGACTTTTCGTATTTATATTTTTCTTATTCTCTCATTTAATATTTTACGCATAAGTGCAAAATTGGGAATGTTTTATTCCCCCACAAGCTAACCAAATAAATTAATCAACCCTCTAGCTGATCAGACGTTAATACAACTACTATATCAGTCTATCAGAAGTGAAGTTTCTTTATTTCTTCAAATAGGTTTTTTGTACGTCCAGTGGCATATATAACATGCATGTCAGAACAGGAAAATTGACAATAGTTATTATTAGAACCATGTTCACATTGTTATACATAATGTTATACATAATAGATTACAGTTGTGATGACGAATTTCTTAAACTGTTCGAGAACAATCTAATTGAAATATAAATCTGTGAATTTACTATGTTCATAACTTCGACGAACCAAAGCAAGTTAGATATTGATCTGAATTTAAATTAGATTGTTTCTAGATGTTTCTCTCTTATATTCAATGTATATATTTTAAATTGCGACTATCTATTAATATAGTTCCGTAACTTTCTGTCTAGCTGTAATAAACCAAATGTGCGTACATTTTTGTGAAATTAATATTTGTATGTTTCAAAATGTCCATAATTATTGACAACGAGTATATATTTACATTTTTCCCAATTTTACCCTTGGGAAATATGTAAATAGATTTTTATTTCATCAAACCTTTTGCTGGAATTATTTAGATTTTCATAAATATCATTCTTTACACCAGATATGTTATTTATAATCAAGTGTGTATACATGTAAGAGTTTAGTTATGACTAGTATATCACTGTCGAACTCAGGACAAACAATATCATGTACACATGATGTATATAACACCTGATAGTTTCTAAATGGAAAGTTACAAGTTACCGGCCATGAACTTGCATTATGTAATTGTGTAATAAGAGTTTTTTAAGCCCGACAGGAAATCGCTTGAATACCTGAACGTGTCACATCACAATACCTCGGGGAATAATTCCTTTAGCCATGCTGGTGATCAAATAATGGAAGGTCCGAATTTATTTGAATAAGTTTATTACATAAAAGAATTATGAACAAATTAGATTTTCGAAAATAATTTTACACGGAAGACTTAATTATAATTTTGAACTTTAAGAGATCTCCGTAAACGTAATCGCCCTTAACTAATTCCAAAAAAAAAAGAGATATCCGATCGGCCGACTTTTCCGACTCGTAAACCTTTATTTAACATTTTTCCGTATCAAGTTATGTAGGGAATGCTGCACAACCATGTCTGATATAATAATTTTTGTGACCCGGAAAATTGTTTATGCTTTTAATTTGTCGTTTCTTTATCGGATAAAACAACCGTACGCTTGACAAGATATCGACACTCAATTACGACTACGTTAGTTACTGCTTGTTTTGGTCCTTTGTGGTTTATAGATATCACGTAGTTTCTTAAACCGGGAAGCTGTCAAGATGGCTACATGTAGAGAAATGATACTCTCAATTTAAAATCGATGGTGATCTCTTATCTAGCAGAATAAAACGTTAATATTTATGAATTTGTGCTTTTTTTATACATAATGAACATAATATCAATTTTTTTATTTTTTGTTCTATTTTTAGCCATGGCGGCCATGTTTGTTGATGGACCAAAACTTCTGATACAATTTATAAACCAGTTACCCTAAGGAACATTTAGTTAAAGTTTAGAAGTATTAGGCCCAGTAGTTTCAGAGGAGAAGATTTTTAAATGTTAACAAACATAATGAACAAATTGTGCAAAATTGTCTTTAAGGGCAATAACTCCTTAAGGGGTCATTTGACAATTTTGGTCATATTGATTTTTTTGTAGATCTTACTTTGTTGAACATTTTTGTTGTTTACAGTTTATCTTTATCTTTAATAACAATATTCAAGATAATAACCAAAAACTGCATTTCCTAAAATTACCAATTTAGTGGCAGCAACCCAACAATGGGTTGTTCGGTTCGTCTGAAAATTTCAGGGCTGATAGATCTTGACATATTGAACATGTTTACTCCTGCCAGAGTTGCTCTAAATGCTTTAGTTTTTGAGATATAAGCCAAAAGCTGTATTTGACCCCCATGTTCTATTTTTAGCCATGGCGGCCATGTTTATTGATGGATCAAAACTTCGGATACACTTTATAAACTAAATACCCTAAGGAACATTCAGTTTAAGTTTGAAGGTATTTGACTGGGTATACTCAGAGAAGATTCTTGAAATAGTTTACGACGACGACAGACGACGGACGGCGACGGACGCCACGAGTGATGGCATAAGCTCACATGGGGCCCTTCGGACCCGGTGAGCTAATGACACCGGGAACACAACTATCTTATTTGTGAAACAAAAAGATCAATAGATTGATGGATATCCGATGTTTAAATTCCAGTCGTTAATATTTAATGCATATTCATCATGAGAACAAGTTAATGTTGGGCATATAAACTTTTAATGCTACCAGAAAGTGGGAGTGTTTAATGGAATTCAGCCTTCCGTAACGCATCCTATTATTTTCAAAATCTACAGAAGAAGATTTGTTTTTTTTATGTATGATGGAGCGTGGTATTCTCTGTCCGCAGACAGATTTTCCGCATTATGATATTACGGTACTAAACGTGGAACTCGTGAGAGAAAGCATGTAAAGATAAACATTTAACGGAGAATTATGTTTATACTTTATATGCAGAAAAATTAAAGAGGACAATCTCTCATTTAGTGTCAAACTGTAATTTAAGACATTTAGACCATCATACTTCAGCGAACGGACCATCGCACTTCAGTGCAAACCATCACATCTGTTGGATCGATTTTTCATCCAGGTCGAACGAAAAAGAAGAATTTGCTACTCCACTTTTGATTTTAAAAAAATTAGTAGTTGCTACTTCTCAGACAAGCACACGGCATGTAAGAGTAAGAGCAAAGACTGGTCGGCTAGTAGTCAGAATAATATGTACGGGTAGGGTGACATGTCTTTCTTGTGAACTAGCACATTAAAAACCCGAATCAGCGTGTCGTCTAGTACAAAGCAGGGATCGTATTCACATCATATTAGCATGTTCTCTTCCTGATTAATTTCGCTACTTCACACTAAACAGCCATTCATCGTTATCAACATTCTTCCTTCATATATGCATTAAGCTAGTACTTGTTAAACTATAAGAGGGTCCGACTACACTATCGTTCACCTGACTCCGATCATGCAGTTAAATAAAGTCGGTTTTTTTTATTGACTTGTCATTTAATTTGGTGGTAGTCATACTATGCATTTACAAATGTTGTCGGAGATTGCTCTGACGTCTGACGGACTTTTTTAAGACTGATCCATCATGGTGCCAAATGGAACCATATTTGGAAAATTTCTTCTAAAATTTATGTCTGTAAAAACAGAGTCAATGTTGGTTTTGAAATACAGGTTATGTATAATAAGCGCACAAAATTCGAAATAACATAATACGGAAGAACTTAAAAAAACAATATGTAAAACATAACTTTTGTAAAGAATAAATCAAATGCCTTTTATCTTATAACACAAATATACTTACTAACTGTGCCCCAAGCAGACATACAAATAAGACGTTTTTTGTTTGCAGTTCTCATCGCGTTGACAATTGGTTTTATGCTGTCTAAATAAAATGTGATTGGAGACCATCCTAAAAAACTTGGTCGACATCCAAGACAAGATACCACGGCGTCTGTGTTTTTAAAAGTTTCCACCAAGTCATCTTCTTTTAGGATGTCCACTTCTTTCACCTTGTTAAACAAAAAATGAAGTATGACCAGTTTACGGACAATTTATCATTTTTATGACCACATAACCTATTTCAAAAAGTTTTTCTATATTTTCTAAAATGTACTTGGTCACAGATTCGTGTGTGTACTTTGTGGTTCTCGCAACACTATGTTGTATTTTTTAACATAAATTATATTTCTAAATCACAAACGCTAAACTAGTATTTCTTTTCAAAGCTTAGCCAAAATTTTGATGGAAGTTAGGTTATGCATTGTCTTTCTGATACAAAAAAGGATGTCCTTCCGATTCATTTTTTTAATGTTAAACTTGTAATGAAATGTATTAAAATTGTCCTTTTCTAACAACATAAAGTGCCGATATATGTTTACTTGTTTAAAATTTTTTACAGTAAAAGGTTTTCGCTTTTTTACACTCAGCAATATTAAATTCCACTATTTTTACAACAAGTGAGTAGAATAAATATAGGGGAAACTAGCCTGTATACATGTACCTCTATACAGTATTTATACGTTTTGATAATATACTTTGGTGATTATGTATGCATAGTAACAGTGTCTGATAACTAGGCACTAGCTATACATGGTACATATATAGGATGGTCGGGAGGGGTATTTGTGAGAGAGAAAAAAAGCAGTAGAGGTAAACTTTCCTGAGCCGCTATAAACGAGGGGAAATTTCTTCTCATGAACGGTATTTTTACACAAATAACCCTATAGAAAAAAGAATGTGTCCATAGTACACGGATGCCCCACTCGCACTATCATTTTCTATGTTCAGTGGACCGTGAAATTGGGGCCAAAACTCTAATTTGGCATTAAAATTAGAAAGATCATATCATAGGGAACATGTGTACTAAGTTTCAAGTTGATTGGACTTCAATTTCAGCAAAAAATACCTTGACCAAAAACTTTAACCTGAAGCGGGCACTATCATTTTCTATGTTCAGTGGACCGTGAAATTAGGGTCAAAACTCTAATTTGGCATTTAAATAAGAAATAGCATATCATAGAGAACATGTATACTAAGTTTCAAGTTGATTGGACTTCAACTTCATCAAAAACTACCTTGACCAAAAACTTTAACCAAAAACTTTAACCTGAAGCAGGACAGACGGACGAACGAACGAACGAACGAACGAACGAACGAACAGACGGACGGACGAACAAACGAACGGACGGACGGACGGACGGACGAACGAACGGAAGGACGGACGGACGGACGAACGAACGGACGCACAGACCAAAAAACTATGTGGGGCTTAAAGACGTAAATACCGATCAGAGATTTTCAAGTTAAACATTCGAAAATTTATTTCATTATTCTTTTGCTTTCCAGATGTTAGCAAAAACAGCCGCATTAAAGATCAAACGTCTACTTGAAGGGGAAAGGGTATATATATGTCTTAGCAAAGTAAATATTGCTGTAGAGAGGGTATTAATAAGATATCTCAGAGTCAGTGAAATATAAAAGAAATTCATCTGATACATGTATGATAAAATACAAAACTTCACACTAGCTTTCAACCAATCAAAATCAAAGATCCTATAAATACATTTATTTAAGCTATTATATATTAAATTATACAGATACATGTAGATAGATATGAAATATCTGTTGGTATTCACTGACTGTATATTTCAATCTTATCATTTCAACCTAAATATTTGACAAAGTATTGAATTGATATGGCCATAGGGCATAAATGATGACATCAGATAATGTAGTGTGTCCACATCCAACCCAAATAACTACTTACAAGAAAAAAGTCTCAATATATATCAGCTTCCTTACTTGTATTCTGCTGCACTATTTTTTTGTTAAATTTTACGTGAATGTGACAATGTTTGATCACCCCTTTCGTATTTCTTAGCCATCCTATCCATGTATATTCATCATATAGGGTTGTACAGTGACAATTTGATTTTTGTGGTTTGCTTTACACAAATCTATCAACGTTTCACAACAAGAAACCGGCCGGTCATCTTTTGTGAGGGAGGGGGCGGGCTTTTTTTAACAACAAAAAATTGATTTCATGTTTTTTAAACAATGTTGTTTTAAAAATTAAGTGGGAAAAAAAGATTATTTCAATTGAAAATTGGTACACAATATTGCTTTTAAAAAAATCTTGTTCCTGTAGGTTACTGAAAAAAATAAAGTTGAAAACTAATGTTTTCCCTAGAAAAAAACTAATGCCTAATAAAATATGCATGGTCGATGCTTCAGTACATTCTTCAAAAAGTGAAAGCGTTGTATATTTAATATTGGTCCCAGACCCGTCGTATATAGACTGACTTATCACTATGACAAATCATAATGATTTACTAAGTGACATGGACATTTACAATGACCAATGGTCGCTCAACAATCTCTTTTGCCTATAAAGATATAGATTAATTAGGTTGTTTTTTCTTAATGATGTTGTTATGACTATGTCTATCAGTTATATCACTTTACTCAGTACTTGGGAGTACACTATAAAGTACTCTGTAAAAGACAGTGTACAATCTCAAAAAAACTAGGGATTTAATTTTGGGCGGGGCCCAGTCTCCTAGCTTATGATGAAGCAAAGATCGATACGGGAAAAATCGGCAAATTCGTTCTTATAATGTTATAAATACTACAACTTAACATATAGGACATCATTATATAAAAGACCATTTATGGAAGCTGTCAGTATTATCGATTTTGATCATTTATGATGTTAAACGTATAAATTTTAATAAAAATGTACAAGTCTATAAAAGTCTGCGCTTATTAAAAACCCATTCCAGCTGTTACCTTTTATGTTGTTACAATAATGGGCAATTAAAATTATTCTGAATATATTGTGTTATTTTTGTTCAAGGTGACGATCTCTTTCCACTACAAACACATGTTCAATAACGATGTGACAAACTGCACATTACAAATAAACATCCTAAAAAAAAACCATATGAACAGGTAAAAATTACTGTGTATCCTAAATTTATATATCAAAATGCGACCTCTGCTTGAATTTGAACTCGCCTAAAACTTTGTTAGATATATATTCCAATTCATTATATCGCTTTTCAAAATCTCACATGTACCGTTAACATACCTTAAGTTTATCGTTCGTTACTGAGCTAAGTCCTTCAGGATTTCTCACCAAAGCAAAGACTTCGTGCTCATTTTTCAATGATTCCAACACAAACTGCAAACCAGTGGGACCTGTTGCACCAAGAACGGCAATCTTCATAGTACCTGTCAGTACTGATATCCAACTTCTCAGGTGGCAGGTACCAGTTCTTAGCCTCTGTGCCAGTGTCCCACGTAGAAAATTAGTATTAAAAAACTTTGGCTATCTTTGACACTTCACTGGGCAGTGATAAATAAAAAGATTTAAAATTCTAAGTTTGCATTACACAATGCTACCTTCCCTGTTTTCATTGATATGCATCATTCATGGTTTTATCTTTGTTTGACATGAAAAACCTAGAGTCCCATATACATATTGTTTGAAGGCTAGCTATACATTTTTATCATGCTTTCCATTGGTCAAAACAGTTGGTTCTTTAAGGACACTGCAAAGTGTCAAATTTTGATGGTAAGGATAGGTTCCGCTGTTGTTTATTCGAGGTGCAAGTGATTAAATTAGGTGATTTTGAATGATTTTCTTGTCAGTAATTAGCAGGTTTGATGCAATGAGGTCTGGAATAGGGTGCAAAATTGAAAATTTGACATGATTTTGTCCGTTATCTGGGAAAAGTAGGTGATTCGGGATAAAGAAACAATATAAAAAACATTGACCAGAATTACTTCACTATCAGTTTCAATTTATTCTTAACACACAAAAAATATCTAGGCATGTTTAAGTCTTACAGATTTATTTACAGAATTTTTTTTTAATTTGGCATGCACTTGCACGTGAACTAATGAAAAAAAACCTGGTTTCTGCCACCATTAACATAGATGATGAAATTAAAATGGAAGGCAGAAGGTTAATTTCACCTTTTAAAAATAATTTCAAGTGTTTTCACTCTAAATCACCCCGAAAACAATCAGAAAATACAGTTTCAGGGATTAACTCATGGTTTTTGTAAATGCATTGAAATTCGAGGAAGATAACTCTATTCAGATACTGATTTTCAAGTTTTATACACAAGTTGAAAGAGTGTGTTTGCTGCAAAAATGTTACTTACAGTTGACTATTCAGTAAGCATATGATATTCCAAAATGTAAAATATGTATAGTAATCAATAATTTACAATGATTCAATGTTTTTCTGATTATATTTTCAGTGGAAAACAGCACTTTTTGTATATTCATAGTGTAAATAAGTAAATATCCCAATTGTCTGACTTTTTTAAATGTCAGCTTACACAAAATGAAAAAAATAAGCTTTTTTCTGTTTTTGAAACAAAAACAATTAGTCAGTGGATGTTTGCTCTGTACAGGGCAACAGAATAAAGGCTATGGAGTTTATGAAACAAGATTTAGAGGGAAAAAAATAAAAATATTTGCCCATCGACTCAGCTACTTTATCTCTGACAATTTTAATCCAATGGATCATAAATTGAATCTTTCACATTTATGTCACAATGAACTGTGCTTAAGGAAAGAACATTCATCATAGAACCACAGAGAATAAATAACAAGCGCAAGATTTGCAAAAATAATGCAGAATGTTTGTTACACTATGGATACCCAAATGTTTACTGTAACATTCAGGTAAAGTCTCTCCTGTTAGCGTATTGATGTTCATTTATCATGTTCTCGTTTGCACAGTTTTTCTGAATGTGTGGTATTCACCCGTTTTGTCACAAAGTCTCATATTTTTGATAAATGGGTCTGTCTTTCTGTATTTAAGTCATATGGCTTCCAAGTAACATACATGATTTCCCATTTCCCAGAGATAAGGGATGGATCGCAGAATGACATAAACCTTCCAAATTCCTGGTCCAAATTGTATTTTTTGGTGTAAATGAAAATACCTTACTATGGAAACTTTCACACTTGTTGGTTGTTGATCGACGGGAAATTTTCTGTATCTCAAAGTTAGAAAAGTTCTTTCCTAAAACTGATTTCAATTTTTTTATGTCATTCTGGTTCAGTTCCAAATGCCTGGCATATGGCAAGTAGCTTGTATTATACATAGATAAATGAGCAGAGCAAACAAGAGAATCTTTCCTACAGTTTCTATGATCATTTGCAAAACAATGAATAACATTTTCAACTGCTCTCCTGTCGCGCTCAATAAAACTGCACTCATTGGCAGAGAGCCTTTTAATTAGAGTGAACTCAGTATACCACTTGCCAAATTTCTTACAAAAATATCCTTGTCGAACCCATGCATTAAGCTGCTTAGTTTTACATTTCACACATGTTTTTGTAAGGTTCTCAACTTGTGGACAAAGCATTTATAGTGGCGAATCGGTATGTTATTGCCTTTAGAATAATCATTTACAGATTTGGGAATTTGGGCAGAGGCATCACTGGTAACAGAACGTACTTTTAAAATTTTATTACTGTTTATTTCATTTAAATGTCGTTTTACAAACTTCCCTTCAGTTAAGACATTGACTCGTCAGTATTGTAGTTTTTTTTACATTTGTCATTGTTATGATTACAATTTGATTTTGGACAAAACGTGTTGGCTACTATCAAATTTACTAGTAGCTTCCTTCTTGTATTATGCTCGATGATAGGACAGAATGTTTGAGATGCTGCTTCAAAACCAGCTTGCGGGCGATTGTTAAAAGAAGAATCTACCTCCGCATCAAAGGAATTGTCTTGTTCTGCACACTCAAGGACTTTTTTCACATATTCCTGGTTCTCCATCATTGTATTTTTATTGATGTCAACCATTAAATCTGATATTTTGTTGACCTCTCTTTGCATTACCGTCCGACTTAAGCACTGAATATTAAGGCAAGACATTATTGTAATGATATCTGAGATCCCAACTTTTGATTTGATCACTGGTATCAACAATGCATTGTTTAGTATACCACTGTCTGGGCCTGTAGGAGATTTCATTGTTGAATAAAGTTTTACAGGTTCAGACGAGAAGCCACAATTTGTACATACTACTTTTACTGAAACACAAATACCCAACCTTTTCGACATGACAACATCTGGTTTAGAAAGCGAACAATTGTGCGGTATAAATTCAATGATAAGATTTGTTAATTTTTTAAGTGTTACAATTATATTTTCTTCTGAATCTTCAGAAACTGAAAAATCATTCAAATTTTCACATTCCTGATCTTTTTCAGGTCTCATTTTTGAAGGAACCAGGTGTTTAGCATGTTTAGTGTCTGTTGTTTGATTATCACTCAGAACTTTTACAGCATCATTGTATTCCTGTGAATTTGGACGTTTGAAATCAGAAGAAAAAGAACAGTTTCCATTTGATTTCTAAGAATCCTTGTGTATTGGAAAGTGTTTATGTCCCTTCTGAAACACTTTTTTTTGCTTTGAACGATTTGTTAAGAAACTTCGACGAGAATAAACCATTTTAAATTAGAAACGACTATCACTTACAACTTGTTTGTATGAAATGGAAAGGAATTTATGATGGGTCAATTTGACAAAGTAGAGTGCAATAAGAATTTAAAATAGAAGGGATACAGTTTCAACATCTCTGAATCATATGTTTTGATAGATTTAGAACTTTATGTCCTGTGCTGAGTCATCTAAAAGAGGTTGATAGATGCTGTCAAAATATTTACTTATTACCTCCCTTTGACTGTCATATATTAAATCTAACATAATAAATCAATGTGAGGTATATGAATGTAACATTATATAACACAAATAGCAATTTATTTTTTAGTTCAATGGACTTTTTTTAACATATGAGTACATGCCTTGGATAAAATTATACTTTTATTACATATTTTGAACTGAAAATCTCTGGAAATTTGAAAAGTGGGGTAATATTTTTTATATTTTTTCATAGACATGTAATGTTCTTGGCCTTTTTACATGTTTTCTTTTAATAAAATTTACTACATAATAATTCTATATGGTTTTTATTTGTGCCTAACACATTTAAGTATTTTTTAAGCATTTTTCTGTGATTGTCAGTGACGGCTGGAATTTTGAATGAAATTCCGCAAAGACACCACCTTCCTTTGAAAGCTTGTAAAATTTGTTTCATGAAGAAATATAACTCTCATTTAAGATTTTTTAATTAAAAAAAGACTAATAAACTTGTACATAACATCAAAAGTCAAACACATACAATATAAAAAAAATGCGTAAGGTGGCAGGTACCAGTTCTTAGCCTCTGTGCCAGTGTCCCACGTAGAAAATTAGTATTAAAAAACTTTGGCTATCTTTTTCACTTCACTGGGCAGTGATAAATAAAAAGATTTAAAATTCTAAGTTTGCATTACACAATGCTAGCTTCCCTGTTTTCATTGATATGCAACATTCATGGTTTTATCTTTGTTTGACATGAAAAACCTAGAGTCCCATATACATACTGTTTGAAGGCTAGCTATACATTTTTATCATGTTTTCCATTGGTCAAAACAATTGGTTCTTTAAGGACAGTGTAAAGTGTCAAATTTTGATGGTAAGGATAGGTTCCGCTGTTGTTTATTCGAGGTGCAAGTGATTAAATTAGATGATTTTGAATGATATTCTTGTCAGTAATTAGCAGATTTAATGCAATGAGGTCTGGAATAGGGTGCAAAATTGAAAATTTGCCATGATTTTGTCCGTTATCTGGGAAAAGTAGGTAATGCGTGATAAAGAAACAATATAAAAAACATTGACCAGAAGTACTTCACTATCAGTTTTAATCAATTCATAACACACAAAAAATATCTAGGCATGTTCAAGTCTTACAGATTTATTTACAGATTTTATTTTAATTTGGCATGCACTTGCACGTGAATTAGTGAAAAAAACTGGTTTCTGCCACCTCATCGATATTGTAATGTAAAGGAAGTAGAGTTATCTCTCTTCTTTCAAAAATATACGCAAAATGTGAGATAAGTTATTCCCCTTGGTATTATTGAATATCTCCTCGTTACCAGTTGCGGATCCAGGATTTTGAAAGGGGTCAGGGGCCCCCAAATTAGAAAAAGTATGGATTGAAATAGGTAAAAAGTCTAGATTAACCATAAATGTAGCTCCATAAGGAGGCCCCGGTCACCCCGCCCCTCTTAACCGCCTCTGTTTACATATTCGATTATATATCATTCATGAATAAAAATAAATACATTTACATACTTACAATCATCCTTTCAGTCATAATTATCATCTTTATTTATCGTTAACGTTGAAATTATATATACAATCCAC